AGCACCGTTAAGCGACTCTTTTAACCCTTTGGCTGCGGGAGGTTACCCTAAGCTGAATAAAATGGTAAGTGCGGAAATGGCAACGAAAGGGCTAATCGAGATAGTTTCCACGTCAGACAACGAATAGATTCCATAAATTAAGATATCTTTATATTCCGTTGCTCAAGAGGAATTGCTTATAGTATTAGTCAAGACCATAAGCGTGAACAATATGACGGTGGGTCTTCAAGGACTTAGGATGTAAAGCCTTTGTGTTGAGGCTGGAGATGCCAGAGCAAGTTTATACGGTCATGGTAGGAAGAATCTTGAGGCGGGATAATTTCATTCAGGTTATCAAGAAGGCACTTCAGTATAGTAAACAATATAAATGACGCTTTAAAAAGAATGAACACGAGGAGAACAATAATATAAACGAACAATATGGACAACTGAAAAAATACTGTTACGTGACACAAAAAATACGATCTTTTTCAAACAGGTATAAATTGCCTGACATGTAAACACAATAGTTATTGTCTGGAATAACTAGGACAGAGTGAGTGGGTAAAGGGAATTTGTTCTATTATCTGAGCTGCCAGTTTTAGACAGAGGCAGACCTCCACAACGACAAGTCTCCATCAGTCACGTGCCGATATATCCTGGGGTGATCGGCCGCTGGTGTCCGAGGTGAGTGACATTAATTATTTCTCTCTTATATATATATATATATATATATATATATATATATATATATATATATATATATATATATATATATATATATATATATATATAATTCTGGTAATTATATTTAAGTAACTATTTTTAATCTCTTATGCCAACATAAACTTTATATTCTCTATTTAGTAAGTGATTAATGTGTGAGAATACATCATAATTATGTTGTGAGCTGCTAAAGCAACATGCAACAGCTGTACACACAACATAGCAAATTCTGTAATTATACAAAATTAACCAGTTTCTTAACTCATTAAAAATGGGAAAGATTTTAAAATTATCGAAAGTGGATAAATTGTTAGGTATAAATGAAAGAACATTTAATTTACAGAAATTTAAGAAACACGAGAGTTAAAGAAAATGGTTGATGTGTTTGAGCAGAAAGTTCACTAAATTTCAAAAGATATAGAAAATAGCCGAAAACTTTACATTATAAAAAGGGCGAGATTCTTAATTAAAATGTGGGTTTGAGATTATTAACTAACGATAAAACATACGAGATTCTAAAGTTAAAATTCAAGTGTTGAGATTCAGAGGTTATAGAGTAAAAACGAGGTAGAGTCCGGTGATGTGAATTATTATACATCACTACCTTCCTCAGTGACATTCTTCTCGGGTTTATTTATAAGAGGTAACACAATGACACCACACCTGAGCTTACCTGAGGATTAATGATCCATTGTAGGTGATAATAAGAAAACTCCATCCTTCTTGAATATGAGTTCTCGCAGTCATGCAAGTAATAATAATAATAATAAACAATTCCTCCACCTTTTATGGTATGTAATTGGGAAAGGTGGGTAGGGAGAGAAGGGAGGGGGAAGGGGGAGGGGGGGAGGGGGGAGGGGGGGAGGGGAAGGTGGTGATTTTAGGTCAGGATTTGGCTAAGCTCTTTATTTTTTACACCTCTCAGTATGATCATTATAATATATTAGTTTAAGTCAGCTCAGGTATGGCAGACTACTATGAGGTAATGTATTGAGGTATTAATTCACCTGTTCAGAGTTAGTTTGTCTTAAGGCCAGTCAGCCAGCCAGCCAGCCAGCCAGCCAGTCAGCCAGCCAGCCAGCCAGCCAGCCAGCCAGCCAGCCCCCGTCACACCCACCATATTTTTAAAGCTTCGTAGGTTTAATGTTTTCCTTTATATAAATAAATTAATAATGGATCCTTAAGACTCAGTTAAACATAAATAAATAAATAAATAAATAAACAAATAAATAATTAAATAAATAAATAAACAGCATTGTACATCACCAGTTTAACGTGACTAGATGCGTTATTCAATTCTTTAGTTAGTGACAGGTGAAGAGGAATTACTGAAACTCCGAGATTATGACCAACTTATTACAGCCACTAGGTAAGACGCAGAGGAACTGATCTCTGCTTTATTCACACTAGACGAATCTTTCCAGGTATAACCTTTTAACAATAATCGACTTCCGGGTAGCAACCACTTGTTCTAGTGACTCAACTCTCTCTCCGCCACGTTACCACTCTCATGCCAGTTGTCACTTATTCACGAGGAGTTTATGAGAGCGTGTTGACATTTCTTGTAAAGCATTTATCGTCAGTTCATATTCACACATTTATAGACTGAGGTTTGAGCTACTGCACGATTTCTTTGAACACCTGCACCGTAGCCGTGAGATACAGTATACTCTTGGTAGTCCCAGTAAGGAAGGGTATTGTGATAGTTATATAGACCATAAGAACATAACAGGTGGCCAGGCTAGGACTCAAGCAGGAGTCTTTAATCTATATTATGGAAATATCTAACTTTTATTTATTCTACCATTATAACAAACCATTTTGGGATAGTTGAATTACCCCTAAAAGATGGCTTAGGAAATCATAAATTCCTTTAAATAATTTATCTAAATATAAAACAGAATCAAATTATAAGTCAGTTGTGTCTCCCTTAGTACCTGCACTAAGGTTAGCATCAGGTTTTATTATAGTGTAAGATAATTTTATTTCTATCATGTCTAACATTTTCTAAAAAAAATTAGCTTAGATTTCATTAATGACGAGAAAGTTATCGATACCTGAGTCCAGCACAATACTTTACTGTAAATATGAAGGTTCATGATTATTGATAATACTCTCATGTAAACTTTGGTTCATTAAACACCAGCCAAACACACACATCGTGAACTGTTGCCCTGGCTAGTACAAGCAGCGTCTGTGTCGTGCATTTAAGTATAACTCAACCATTTACATTGAATGGATTTTCATATTAACAAATATTATCTTTGCATACAGTGAAGGTCTTCATGAGACTCATGCAAGTAATCACTGTATATCAAAGAGAATAGTTTACTTAATTGTCTATTTAATTTATTCCAATATTGCTGTTCCATCATGCACACCGGTGTTCACTAAGTCTGTGTTGATACTAACTTGAACACAGAACATCAGAATACAGGCTGTGGGTAGACCCGAGTCCAGCACTTGGGTGAGGTCTGGTTAAATTTCGCTTCGTTTGGACGATTCAACTCCGTTATTATAAAATGGTTTATCCTCGTAGCCGCTATAACTTAGGTGACGACGTAACACAACCCTCCCTAGAGTGGTTCTTAAAAGTATTTTCGTGACTATACATTAATTTATCCCTGTTCCTCCCACCCCTCCGCCCCCCACAAGTTAGTATTCAATGTCGTCCTCTGCGTCTCGTCGTGTTTCTTACCCGTCCTATGAACTATTCAGCCTCGGGAGTGCCTTAGCCATAATCATGTGGCTCTCTGGCAAAAATAAATTAATAGTCAGACGAGAATCCCCAACCATTTCGTGGATTATATGACAGAACACGTGTTATGTTACGGAAAATCCAAGAGTACATAATATAGTGTAATGCAGAGATGTAGTGTTATACCATATACAGTATGTTGAGAGGACGGGCACATGCCAGTATAATACAATATTCTAGACGCACAGTGTTGTACGAAAGTATACTGTAAGGCGCTTAGTATGAGATGCGTTTTGGACGAGTGGATAATTATATTGACGCTTAACAAAAAAGTACTGGTAAAAAGATATTCTATTTGCACTACTTGTCACCTCAGTCGTGTGAAAGTATACTAAAATAACTCGTTTAACAGAAATTATTGACGTTATTAAACACTTGAATAGAAGGTGTGTGCGTGTGTGTGTAATAATAAAATAATATTAATAATAATAATAATTAACGGTTTATTGAAGGAGCATGGCAGCCGGAAGGCTGAAAATATACAGTTACATAATTGGGGAATGGGTTTCTTGATTTACAAATAATATACAAGTAACATAAGTGATACAAATATGATATATAATAACTAGGTGGGGAGAAGCTCAAACTAAAGGGCATGTCAACATAGTGACAGTGAAAAAAGTAAGATTGACTGGGAGTGAATACACTGGTTGATTACAAGTTATTGATAATTTTTACAATGGTTGGGACTGAGCTACTCTTATAGCGACCAGTTCGTGCTCGTATGGGCTGGATGCGGTTGTGGTGTCGAACAGCAATTCTTGGGCGAGGGATCTCGGGGTGGTAGTAGGAGCCGGTGTCGAAGATGGTGCAGGAGCTTCTCTCCAAATTTGCAGATGAGGTCGTGGTGATGGTCAGTGAGAGCCGAGAGGGTCAGTGTGTTGAGCCCTTCTTGATATGTGTGTGTGTGTGTGTGTGTGTGTGTGTGTGTGTGTGTGTGTGTGCGTGTGTGTGTGTGTATGTGTGTGTGTGTGTGTGTGTGTGTGTGTGTGTGTGTCAAGGTCAAGTTGGAGTAATTGTATCCTCACAGGCATAGTTCGTTCTGCCATTGTTTGAAGTACAGTGTAACACCACTTACTTTAATGTCCTGTGTTCAGCTGGTGCCAAAGGTAAGACATAAGAGAGTCCAGCTACCAATTTACACAATTATGTCGTAAGGTTTTCAGAAATACACAATACGACCTCAGGGAGTCTTGCCCATTATAATTAAATCGTCAGTGTTGTCATTCCGGGGTTATTTGATGTGTTAAACTATAAGGGTGACAATACCCTCCTTGTACCACACCTCCAATTATCACAGTAGGTCCTCTGAGTATATGAGTATTTCAACAACTTAAGAAGATGACGCATTTCAACAAAACTTACCAAATGTACTGGAATTCTACTTTCCGAAGAGGTGCGCAGAGTAAAGAAACCTCCCATAGATCCAGCCCAACAGGACGACAACTTTTATCCCTTTGGCAGCATGCCCAGGACGACGTGAGGCAGCACGTCTGGCAGCCGTCGGGCAAGGAGCGGCAGGCAGTAGTAGTGTAGCTTGTGTCGCCGTCACGCGAGGTGGCGGTGTGTGGTCAGACCCTTCCCGCGCGCTACTCACTGAAAACCTCTCGCAGGACACAGGCTGGGTCACCCTCAGTAACACACCAATAAAAAGTTTGACTAATATATACAAAAGAGGATTTATGACTTTGCAGAGATAAAATACACTAAAATATAAGCCCAAACAACGTTAAAAAACAGCGTGTGTAAACAGTGAACACTCAGTAAAAGAAAATGTAAATAATAACATATAAGATGGACTATGCGTGCACATGGTGACCACACATGGTATATCACAGTGACACATACTAGTGAGTTCTCTCTTTTCCCTCACCATGGGTCGCCTTGCCTCGTTATGGCAGTGTTGACCCCTGGCAGGTATAAACTTGACCTCTGTAACCTAGACCGAGATGCGAGAGTTAAGTGGAAGTCGGTGGAAGCTGTGAGTGACGCCTGTCTGCCTCCCGCCCCTGCTCACATCTACTGCTCCTCCCTCACACCCCCAACAACACGCGAGGTAAATTACAGTAATATAACACTGAAGGACTAAGGCATGAGAGAAGAGGGGCGCCTGGCATGTCTCAATGATCCGCCGTTCAAACACCTAAAGTACACATTAGAAAGAGGATCGCCTGAAGATTAACGCCAATATATTTCAACTGATGATAATTAAACACCCTGATGTTAACCTCACTTAACAAAAGCTAACCTAACCTAACCTAACCCCTCAGGTAGGGTTAAGGTGTTTAATCATCAGATGAAAAAGCTAAGGGTTAATCTTCAGGTGATCCTCCAAAGCCTCTAATTTATAAAGAGAATCTACCGGGAATGTTTCTTGTAGCAGGAGAAAGATACTCTCTTGTACAGCCTCTGAAACTTCCAGATCCACATCATCAACTTAAGCAACACACTGACCTCTCACGTACAGCGAGATCCAGTAATTACTTTAAGAAAAAACTTAGAGAAATGTGTTCAGTTTTACAGCAGCTGATAATATCATGTCAGTATTCAGTTTACAGTTTAATGCAGTTACAGTCAGTCTAATGTGTACACTTTATTAAATCATATTCTGATTATCGTTAGGAAGAATGTAATGAAATTTTGTATCTCATCTTACAATGTGAAACAATACACATCTTGTATGTTTCTACGCCTCATGTTCAGAGCAACACATAATATTGTTAGATACATTGTGGACAAGCCTGAGCAAAGGAGAACATCACAGCATAACATTCCGCTACACTTCGTGATTAATAATGTATTTTTACGGGTGTTAGGTAAGTCCACATGTAAGTGACATTTATCACATTCAAGTTCACTGTGTTATCAGATATCAATGATCTTATTATTTCTTAATATAATCAAGAACAAATATTCAAGCTCCTAGAAATTATATAAACCTCACGGATTTACATACAATTGTGGGTGGGTAAAATAAAGATTAGATTACAGGTTATGAACAGAAACTTTATCATTATTCGAGATTATCCTGAAACAAGAAAACACAGTAAAGATCATGACTATAAACAAACATGATATTATAAAATATCTCTCATCAAAAGATAATTCCTAACCTGCGTCGATCGTTCTCAATCAAAACAAACACCGTCATTAGGATATAGATAAAACAACAAAGTTCAGCATATTCTACTTTCCTCCAGCATACATGTAGTAGTATAATTTATTTCTTATATAATGTTATTCTTCAAGAGGGTTAAAAACTTTTTCATAAATTTACAAAAAAAATTTACAAAGATATTTTTATGTGTATATGTAAGACCAGTGTAAATAATTCTGTATATAATGACGTACCGAAGTGAACAACAAACTAATGGAAATTTAATAGAGGAAAACTAAGAGAGTCGAAAAGATAGAAGAACTGTAGAGATATGAAGAAAGAAACAGAGAGAGAGAGAGAGGATGGGGTGTAGCGAGGTAACTGTACGTAGTAATGGTGGTGTTGACAGTGACGCACTAAACTGAGGAACGCCCCCCCCCTCCCCCAGGGCTATTTTCTTCGTGTTTGAATACTGAAGACTGTCTTATCGTCTAACTATAGTATGTACTGTTTATTATCGGCGTATATTATAGGAGCTCTCCAGGTATACATATTCGAATGATATTACCAAGATAAAAATAAAGGTGAGGAACATTGACGACTATACTGAGGAAGGTTAGCTACACGGATCATATGAGTGTTAGATACATAGAACACTCAAGACACGTTATGTATTACGGTGAACAGTACATCCTCTCAACATATTTTCTGGTGACAACAACTGTTATCCTGATTGTATACATAGTGGGTCTTGATGGAGGAATTTTCTCACTCGATCATACATTATAACGAAAGACCGAACCGTGAAATGTAGAGTTCCTTTAATAATAATAATAATAATAATAATAATAATAGTATAATAATAGCAGACTAATCATAATAGCAGTAACAATACTAATAGGCACTGGTTTACTAATTGTGTATATAACAAAGTGTTTAAACTGGGCCAGCAGAGCGGAGCCAACCAATTTATTTCTCACTACAGATTTCTCGGGCGGGTTGCGTTTAATTTTCTTTTTTAATGTTGTTTGGATTGGGAGGTCTGGTTGGTTGGCTCTGCTGCCTCCTGCTTGTTATGGGCGAGAGGCTGGCCAGGTTATGGGCGTTAAACCCACACAGCGCTCTGAGAGGCCCTCACATGACGCTCTCTTGGGAGTTACTGCCCGTCATCTGGCCTCCAACATTATTAATGAGTGCTATATATATATATATATATATATATATATATATATATATATATATATATATATATATATATATATATGTGTGTGTGTGTGTGTGTGTGTGGTATGTATGTATGTGTCTGTGTATAATGTGCTTGCAGATAAGTGTTTGTGTTTTGGTCTTTGTTTTTGTATGTATGATCGATGGTGTGCATGGATACACAAGTATGAGGGGCACTATGTACCTTTGTATGAGTGTGGGGTATTGTGTATGTGTGTACGGAAGTGTGCGTGTGTATTGGAGAATTGTGTGCGTTGAGGAAGTGCGTGTGGGGGGGGGGAGAGTGTGTGTGAGTGTGTGTGTGTCTGGGTGTGTATTTGCGTTGTTCATTTTCTTACGTGAACGTATCGATTTTAGATATTAGCCACCAAAATTACGGTGCTCGCAGCGGCTTTACCGATAAATTTATCATATTAAACCAATTATTTTAAGGTTTATTCAGTTATACATAGATTTTTTAAATTACTTCTCCTAAAAAATATGTTTCTACAGCGATATGAACAGAAGTTATATTTACACACACATACACACTCATACATACACGCACTTATACACAAGAACATAGACACACACAGACGTTGAAGGATACAGACACAGAAATTTACACACGTACACAAAGAATGCTACGTTTCTTATGTAACTAACCACTCACTATTATGTAAACAAATATATAAACACTTTTTATAAAAATAATTATTTACTATGAATAATTATTACATTTTCGGCCCAGGCCCCGATGTGGGTCATTGACCTGTGCCCGGGTGGACTAATCCCCGTAAAAAAAAAAAAAACTCACATGAGCAAACTATGGGTATAACATAAAATATAAATTGTGTGTGTGTGTGTGTGTGTGTGTGAGAGAGAGAGAGAGAGAGAGAGAGAGAGTGGTGGAATTGGGACTTAGTTGTAATACTCGGCATAGCTCTGGGTAGGTTAATTTTGTGTTTGTGTTCAACTATTGGATGCAGTTTTATATATGCAGCAAGCGAGGTATGTGTGTGTGTGTGTGTGTCTCGAAAGTAGTCTAAAATCCCTCCAAAATTCGACTTTAGACAAAATATATATCGCAGAAGACTGACCACCCTCCAATTTAGATTAAATACTCAAGAGACTGTTATAGAAATTAAATACCGGAAAAAACCCTACCATTATAGCAGGTGTTGTAAGGTCACGTTAGTCTGTGTATTTTTCACTGATATATATTTTGTTTTCTCTCTCTCCTCTACTGGGAGTGTCAGGAATTCTTGTGACGTGTGACAGATGGAACAGGGAGTTGTGAGGTGGATCTCCTGATAAATGGATGTGGCGATAAGTAAAATATAACTTATATCTAATATCCTTTAGTGTATTGTACTCTTGTTAGTTTTGTTCTTTCCACTGGATAGATTATGTCTGTAAGTGTCGATCAGAAAGAAATAAAAATTAATATTCCTAGTATTTTTGGCTTAAGTGAATTGAATAGACCTCAATGTTAAATCGTTAAAAAATAAATAAAAATGGATCACCTGAGTATTAGACACCCCCAGTTCTTTTCACCAGAAGACTGAACACCCTAACTTAACTTAACCTAAACCTAATCTAATCTAACCTAACCTAACTTAACCTAAGTCAATCTAATATAACTGTAATCTAACTTATCATAATAAAACCAAATATAACGTAACGTAACTTGATATAACCTAACGTAACCTGACTTCTTTTGGATCATTAGGGTGTTTAATAACCAGGTAAAGCAAGCTGGGGGGGGGGTAATCCTCATATGATCCAGACCTAAAAAAATTAAACCTCCATCATCTTGAATTCACTCGACAAGTCAGAAATGGATTTGGTCTTTGAATTCACCGTGTTGAAAGAGTAAAGATAACGAGAGAGAGAGAGAGACTATTAACACGTAATTGTTTGAGATAAATTAGAGACAGATCAAATGAGTTGAAATAGTAATAACAAAAAGATAAAAAAAATGTGGAAATCTGGTTTATGAAAGACCTGGTAATTAGAGTGAGTGCAGGTGAATACATGGTAGACTACACCTGGTCTAAAAAGAACAGTGTAAATGATTAATTTCTGTGTATGATGGAACGATTAACAAAGGTGTATATAAGTAAGTAAAAACTGAGTAGGGTAAGTGCTGTGGTTTTATACGAGTGATATTGATAAAAAGATGGATAAGGGTGAAAGGACTGTGATGTTTTTTGGGGGTGGGGAAATTCTCTCAATGACCGCTAAGTTGAATGAATCACCTGGAGCCAGAACCTAACAGCGTGATAAAAAGATCCTTCTCTCATTACTGTCAGGGGAAGAGACTCTACTAGCTTGATTAAGTTAGGTTAGGTTACTGTGTGTGTGTGTGTGTGTGTGTGTGTGTGTGTGTGTGTGTGTGTGTCTTACGTGTGTTTAATTTGTTTTACATCATGCAACACTTTAATATACACCTCCCTCCTAGTTCATCTACACTGTTATTCCTCCCTCATTCCTTCAATATTCTCCTTCATAAACCTTCCTTTACTCCAACATTCTCCAGTTTATCTCCTACACTTGTTTTCCCTTATATACCTCTCCCCCGTTATCATTATTCCATATAGTCTCCACCTACACTACACCCTAATCACTACTCAATCAGTATAACGATATCAGCACCTCCCTCTCTCCAGTTCAGTTCAGAACAAATCCACTTACCTTAGGTTTATTTAACTCAAGACAATTTACTTTAGACGAGGATAGATCAGGTTAAAATC